TGAATCAGCACATGGAATCCTGGAATGATTTGGGCTGAAAGGGACCCAAAAGATCCCTCCTGCTTTGGGCAGGGACACCTCACCATGGCCCAGGGGCTCCAAACCCCAGTGCCCAGCCTGGCCTTGGCACCTGAGGACGAGCAGGAACCATCCTCATCCTCAGCACCACCCTCAGCCCTGGCTGCAGGCAGAGCCCAAAACCCAAACGGAATCTCCAGATGCCCAAATTTGTGAGAAACGCAGTGGAAAGAGGAGGGGAACAGCCCTGGGGAGAGCAGGGAGCCAAGCACCAACCTGCTGCAGGGCCTGGGGAGGCCGGGGGGGACCCCCAGACGTCCCTGCTGGGGGAGGCTGGGCTGGGGTCCAGCTCCTTCTGCAGGAATGGGCTGCGCAGCTTGCCTGGGGGGAGAGCGGGGGCTGCTCACGGAGGGACCCCCAAACTGCCTGGGGAACCCCACATTACTGAGTCACACAAAGAGAGAGGAGGGGGCTGCCCCCAGGGCACCCCCACGCTGCCGCCTCACCCTCCCAAGCAGGATTTTCCAGCTCCAGCCCTGGCTGTGGAAAACAAGTTTGGCAACCGGTTGCGGCGGCAGCCAAGGGGAAATTTAAAAATGAAATGAATGAATAAATGAATGTATTTCTGTGGAGGAGGGAGAGCTGCAGCCCCTGGCTCTCCCTCCGTGGTGGCGCTGGGAGGGAAGGCCACAGGCAGACTGGGAGGGGATGATGCAAACTGGGTCCTGTTTCCTGTGGCAGGAGGCACCTGGGCTGCTATCGCCTCATCTCCACCTCCAAACCAAACAAAAGCTGAGCAGAATTCCCGCACCAGCCCTGCCAGCACCAGGACTCCTGCCTGCCCTTATCTCTGATCAACTCCAGGGCATTTACCTGCCTTTCCTCCAGGAAACACCTCTAAGTCAGTCTCTCCTCGTGACCAAAAAAGACATTTTCAACCACCAAAAAAGACATTTTCAACCACCAAAACAGACACTTTCCCAGCCTGGCATCCCCTCCTCTCCCACCCAGGATGTGCCTGCCCAAGGCACAGGGACCCTGCTCCTGTCACCAAGTGAAAGCGATTATTGGGATCAATCCAAGGTGCTTTGGAGGGGGCTGGGTGAGGATGAGGAAGAGGAAGAGGAGGCAGAGGCCTCACCCAGGTGTGTCACGGGTCACAGCCACTTCCTCAGCTGCTCTCAGCTCTGCCCTGCAAACTTCCTGATTTCTGCCTGAGAGATCAGATCAGAGCAGGCCCTGCTGACAGCACAGGGCTCTGCCTGGCTGGGGCAGCGCAAAAATCTGGGGGAAACTTCATTCATTTGGGACAGACTGCGATAATGATGCTTTCCTGGGGTTAACAGATTGAACCACCAGAGCATGCCTGGCTGTGTCCCCAGCCCCTTGCAGTGTCCCCAAGCCATACCTGGCTGTGCTGGCAGCCCCTGGCTGTGTCCCCAGGCCATACCTGGCTGTGCTGGCAGCCCCGTGTCCCCTGGCCCCGC